GCTTCCTCGGAGGTTAGTAAGTAATAAATTATTACCGAAGTGTGTATACTCGACAACGGTTTGGAACGTTATATTTTATGTTCTGAACTCTGTTTTGATTTTACCAAGCCACATTATATGAACTATATAGGTAGATAGAGTCTGTATTCTATGCATTCGTAACCAGGTATTACTACACATAAAACTATACAAGTATACAAGTATACCTACATGTATACCTATTACCTAGTAATTTAGACGTCTCTTCATTCGTGTACTACGTGCGAGAACACATCTATCATTCATTATTATCCAATATTGTTGTGCACGAAAACGTAAATTCATACTAAGATTTATACTAATTGTTAATTTCTTATAATTTTACGTTAACAATTACGTTTGTACAAGAGTATTTATTTTTTGTTTGAAAAACGCATGTCACAGATTGGTTTTTGTTGAGTTTCTAACACATCAGCATTAGGTATCTATTACGTTAAGTACGTCAATTCGTTACGTGTTGATATTTTGATAACCGGTAGGTACCTAATTGGTAGGTAGTAGGTACTCTTCTAACAGTTCTAACCCATATACCTATATGCACATCTGACGAAAGACCAACAAATTGAATACAATTAAAATTAGTTCAATTCATAGTATTCTAAAATATAGGTAGTAGATCAATGGCAGTGAAAACATAAGCGCCAAAACGAAATAAGAACAAACAAAATCGTATTGTACGAAAGCGCCAAAATTGTATCGTACAAATGCGCCAAAATCCTAGGTAACTTAGGTAGGCTATTTAAATTTAGAACTAGGTATATCATTCAAAACCTCCAAACGTTTAATCTTAATCGACAAATTTATTATCTGATTACAATAGATTGTCACATAAACAGTGTGTGAGCAGTTTTGTGTTGTATAATTAATTGTTACTATACCTACCTATTTCGTAAGCATTCGTGTAAGCGTCATTCGTTAAGATGAATTTTACAAAAACTATTACTAATAAGAGTGTTGCGTGCATTTTATTTAAAGATAAAAAATATAGATTTTTACGAAAAATGGCCAGCGGCAATGTGTCATTGAGGTGTACCAAGAGAAATAATTGTGCAATGGAAGAAATACCAAGATGGTGAAATAAATCGTATGGAACATGTAAAAAAAATTAGATTAAAAAATTCAACCAATTAATTAAAATTATATTTATTTGTATATACGATACCTTTGGCACTTATGCCATACAGTCATATTATGGTTATAATTAACCAAAACTATATACATAACTTTAAAACGTTACATTTAAATTGTTAAATATTTTTTACAAAATTTTTACATATTATAATATTATAAACATAAGCGTGCACACGGGGTAGTCAGGGTAGGCACTTGACTACTCTGCGAACAACTCCCCCTCCTCAACTTAATATTATGTTTAACCATTTCAGTATGTCCGTAAACGGTAAAATGTTAGAAATAAGAATACTGGAAAAATTAAAAAAAATATATCGTCGTTAGTAACTGCCATGATAAAATAAATATATCATAATTTTATTTTATCAATTTATTGTATCATGGTTATCGCTGTTCAAACATTGAATTCTATCCATAGAGTAATACCACAGACTATGTTTTCATATACAAGATTTTCAAGGAAGAAAACGATACGTATCGATACGTTCCGGAAACGGGCTCGAGTGTTCAAGAAGTTTACGATACGTTAAAAAGTTACATCTGTATCCACGGTTGTATTATATATTGTATTATATATCTATTGTATCGAGATTTGACGTTTAGTCTGTGGTAATACTCTATGATCTTATCGCAAACCAGACTGGTTGATTTCAGTTTACAACATTGAGTAATCCATGGCTAAATATATACATATTTATAATTAGTCATGGAGTAATCTATTTTAGGTTCTATGGCTCCGTGGTAGACCATTGAATAATATCGATATTCGTTTATGATATTAATATTATGATAAAGTATTCGTGTTTTTACCGAATGTGACTACTGACTAACGAATTATTGCTCGAAAAAACGATACCTACATATTATAAAGAATTTAATTTGTAAATTATTTAATAAGGTGTATGTTAATTTAGAATTGTGATTTTAATCTCAAAAAATTTTTTTTTAGGTATACTACATTTAATTATTACTTATAAAATATTTTTTTATTATGGTAAATGCAGTTAAATAAAGTTACCCTATTAAAAATTTTTTGTTCATGTTAAATGTCAATGTGTAATGTATCATGTATGACTACCCTGCCAATAATGTCTGCGCACGCTTATGATTATAAATACCTAAATTTTCAAATATCATGCGTAATTGGGGAGCCCACAATATTTTTGAAGCCGCATCTTTATTACGGAGACCTTTCCTAACAAGACAAGTATTGTTAATGAGTAATTATGAATGTTCAGGTATTAATTTAATTTATTTTTATTCAGTATGTAATTATCATAATAATAATAGTAATAAGTATATATTAATAATTATTATACTATAAATGTATAATGTCACTATGGCGATCACCTATTGACTATTAGTTAAAATTATTGAATTTGATTTTCACTGCTATAGGTAAATCTAAATGATACAAGACAAACTACTAAGTACCGAAATCAAAAAAATAAATAAATAAAAGAATAATTATACATTATATAAATTATTTAAAGGTACCTTTTAGTTATTACTTAGTTTATTACTTAGTTATTACTTAGATTTATTTGGAAATGAAGGAATATTCTTCAACATTTTACCTAAAATAATTTTGATTATGAATGTCAATGTTTCATAATATGCAGGTTCTATGGTTAAATTTTTATTTACATATTTTTATGACCTCGTGTAGGTAGGTACTTGTAATATAATAATAATTTAATATGAATAGTATATTTTTAATCACTACCTATTTCATAAAAATAATGTTAAGTATTTTGAATTTTATATAATATTAGTAAAAATAATGTTGGTTACAAAAAACATTTATTTTGTATATTTTTTAAAATAAACTTTTTTACATATTTATTTAAATTGTGTATTCATAAAGTTTATTAATTTATAAAAAAAATAATTTAGTGTATTTTTTGCATATTTATGATATGAATTTGCATATTTTACAAATTTTTATTGCGTATAGGTAGTATATAATTATATAAATATAGCCCTAGTTATAAGATAATAATTATAAAACTTTACTTACACTTAATTGTAAATTATTTGTTTATATTATATTAAGTATCATTAATATCTACCAGTTTAAAATATTATTATTATTATGTACAATATGTCAATATTTAATAAAATTTAACATAACGTTCGATAAACTGTTAAATAAGTAATAAAGTATAGTAATTGTTATTTTTAGGTACATAATATAAACTCCTACTTCCTGGGAACAAGAGAATCATATTTTTAAACATGTTTCGATTACAGAAAAAATTGTTTATCAGCATTAATAATATTTATTTCGATAAAATTTTTGTTTTTTTTTTAGTCAAAAAGCTTCACAATTAAATATAGATAAATTTTTTTAAGTTTTTCTTTCAGCAATTAAAAAATATCTGTTCTACAATCTACAAGTATTGACCTACAAATTACTAAGATTATTTTTAGAAAAAATTAGTTTATCTTATAAATTAAAAAACAACTCCTTAAAAGTAAAGCTGATCCACTTATTTCCTTCATTCAGAAGTGTTTTTTAGTGAATAATGATTACCTAATAATTGAATTCAAATTTAACTCATCCAATACAGTAACTTAATTCGTACACAGTACACACAAAATCAACTAAGTAGCAGCATTCCCTTTTATTTTTAAATTTTCTAGGAGTATATATAGGTAGATAAATTTTATCATAGGTATGAATCTATATTTATTCATAATTTCAGTTTTAAATTGTCTTGTTCAGTCTGTAAATAAAATCTAAAAACTTAAATTGATATAGATTCATTTATTTTAACTATTTTTAAACTGAATAGCGTAAATAATATATAATATTATATTTTCAAACAAGACACCATTTTTTTTCTTCATAGGTCCTTTCTCATCCACAACTTGTCCAAGATTTAAATTAACATTTATAAAAAAAAACTATTTAATTTTTATATTGAAAACTTTCAAGCTTGTTCAAATGTTGGCTAATTAAAAATTAAGAGATAACTCCTCTGTTTGAAAACCAAAATCAAATCAGAAAATTTTAAGAATTTTACATTTCATGAAATAATTATTCCAGAATTAACTGTATCTAAAATTTACAACATTTTTTGTAAATGCTCAAATTCAGAATACTTGTTTTTTGAATTCTAGTTATCTCGAAAAAAATTAAATAAGCCATTGATTCATGATATGATGACTTATTTTATAATTGATATAATACTATAATAATGTAAAATATATACTTTATGTGATGGTTAGGGTTTGTAACTCTATGATTATATATTTTCATGGTAACTTATGTCATAAATAATAAATCATGACAAATTTATTTTAAGAAGTATCATAGCTTCAAAAAATATTTTATTTTATAATAATACTTACTATACAAAATTTGAGTAATTTAATGAAATAAGAAAATAATATGATACAAAAATTATCTATTTCAAATAGAAATCTCAAATAATAGACATACATAAATGTATATCTGTCACTAAACAAATTTCACATATTTTTCATACTAGATTAGTTTTAAATATTACTGTGTAGACACAATAAAAAATTGTATTAATATTATGATTTATAATAAGTTGCTAAAATCATATTGTGTGTACAGAACAATAAATTGTTAACGATTATTTTACAATATTTAAAACATAATAATATTTAATCTAAACAGTTTAGGTCATAACAGTTTAATTATTAACAATATTTATAACGATTTGTGTTTCATACATTTATTTATCAAATAAAAGTTTTAAAAAACAATTCTATACGTAGTTAATAAATAAATACATATTAAGTATTAGTTAATTTAAATAAATGCATAAAACTTAAGTAAATTAATAATAAAGTTTCATTGAAAAAAATTAAATAAAACTGTACAAAAATCACCTATACTTGGGCTACTTATAAAACATAAAGTAATAGTCAATGTAAAATATTTAACATTATTTTACATTAAGTAAATTTTATCTAACAGATCATAAGTTACTTATTTTAGAGTTAACTATGATCCTGTTTAATAAATTCAGCATACTGTTCTTCATTCATTAAATTCTGTACTTCATCCAGAGATGATAGTTCTAATTTAAAAAGCCATCCTATAAATTAAATGATTAAAATTATAAAACTATAAAAGTATAAAATTTGATAGAAACTTTAATATATTATACCATTTTCATAACAAGATTGGTTTATTAATGCTGGTTTTGTTTCCACCTGAGAATTTATTTCAACTACTTTGCCAGATGCAGGACTGTACAGTTCACTTGCAGCTTTTACACTTTCTAATGCACCACATTCATCTATAAAAATGTTTTTTTAAATAAGTACAAATATTAAGTTGTGTAAAAAAAAATTGATGTCAAAAGTATTAATAGAATTGAAAAATAGAAATACATATATGGGTTGCTTTATAAGATAATATAAATTAATCATTTAAGCAACCTTAGCTGGCAAATACAAATAGTTTTTTTTTTTTTTAATGTTTAAGTTCATAGATTTTTTATGACAATTTTTATTGGTCAATCTTACTCACAAACATTTTTGTATAAAAATAATATATTTTTATTTTATTTTAAATTTTAAATTAATGTACACACAATTTATATATGTAAGGATAGAAAGAAATATTTATATGCTTATTAGGAGTAAGAAGCCATTATTAATGACATTTGACTGATTTTAAAAATTAAAAAAAAAAAAAAAAAAAAATCAAAATACATAAGATCAGGGTATTACTTGTCATTCTTGTCTCATTGGAGAGTAGCAATTAATATAATATATAGTACTTATATACCTTTTATTTTTACTTCTGTTCCAACAGCAGGTAGCTCAGCATAAACCACATCACCTAAAGCATCCTAAAATAGAATGAAAATAATTAGTGAACTATTAAAATTATATGTCTATAATGCTCTATGTTACATAATATAATATCAAAATTTTAGGATTATAAACTATTAAGAGGACGTCGTACCCGCATATGTTATCTTCGTCTTACAAATGCGTAACATAGCAAATATTACATTCAGAAGATCACGGTTAACTCCTTTAAATTGAAAATTAGAGTGAATTGACCTCTTTTGAAGTTTAAAAGTGAGATTATTATCTAGGGCATCTCATAGGCTTTTTATTATATTTTAATTTTAAAGCGAGTTATGTGTGTTTTAAGACGTGCAAGCAATTTACAATTTTAAAATACTTATAACTTGCTTTAAAATTAAAATATAATAAAAAGCCTATGAGATGCCCTAGATAATAATCTCACTTTTAAATTTTAAAAGAGGTCAATTCATTCTAATTTTCAAGCTGAAGGAGCTAAACGTGATCTTCTGAGAGTACTATTTGCCATGTTACGCATTTGTAAGACGGAGACAACATATGCGGGTACGACGTCCTCTTAAGTAATCAAAATTTATACTAGATATAAAAAATAAAACTTAACATAAACAACATTATAACAATGTGTTAACTATCTCAAAAACATGCAGTAATAATAAAATAAAAATATGAACATAATTCCTTCATTGCCATACTATAAACACAGTATAATAATCAAGTATTAAAAGTATTACATAACATCATTACATTAAATTTAATTGTTTTGAAGAGTATTCAATACTAACTATTTTTCTCTTTGTCCAACACATACAAAATATAGAAATTTAGACATGTGCTTTGCCAAAAGTATCAATTTTGGTTTAATGAAGCAATGAAAAATATGAAAACAGATTTAAATTTGTTATTAAGTTTATTTCACATTGATTTTCTCACTTTTAATTAAAAAACTGTCAATTTAAATTTTTGAAGAAGTTAAAAAATCAAAAACATGGGAAAGTCGATCTTAAATAAACTTAACAATAAATTTAAATCTGTTTTCAGATTTTTAAACGCTTTACTATAGATATGATTGATAAAAAAAGTCTGTATTTTTATGTACCATGTGAGTGAGATAAAAACAAAAACAGCCAGTATTGAATTATCTTAATATAAATGTATGGAATAAAAATAAAATAATATATTTTAAAGTATAATTTTTTACATGAAATTAATACAATGTTTAATAACAAATAATAACACCAATCAATATAAGTAGATGATTGACTAAATATGATAAATTAAATTATATTTACAAACATATAGTTTCTTATTAAATTATTTACTAATGATAGAACTGATATTTCTAAAATCTAATGCACTACTATTTTTAAGCGCTTAGATATTAATTTAGGATATTTGCATCAAAACAATAAGTGAACAACAATTTTAAAGATTTATTATTAAATAAAATATATTTATAATGTAAATTACATAAGTCATTTGTTTTAATTTTAAATATTTAAAAAACATAGCAATATTAAAGTAAATAGCAAAAATAATATTGTTGTAACTATACTTTGTCCAACAAAATAAAGTACAGTGGCCCAACAAAAATAGGTTATTCCTTGTGCAACATACAGCTAATGAGATCAAATTCTACTATGGCTGAGTGTTACACAGGGATGCTCAGAATCAGTATATTCTTTCAATGGACAGTATAATTACTACTAACATTTGAGTTAAAAAATTAATGCAATGCTATTATTTTTGTATTTAGGTAACAAAAAAGTAATCTATTTACTTTATAATTTTCTAACTAAGTTACTTTTTAAAAGTAATTTATTCAACATTGATAACTAGTTATTATATCTACGAATAGAAATTAGGTATCATTATAATGTAATCTTTACAGTTTCTGTACCACATATTACTAATCACTCTGTATTCATTATCAGGTACATCTACCAATTAATTTAATTGTAATACTAATAAATATAGCAATTTTTATAGATAAATTCAAAAGAAAAACACGTAATAATTGACGAAATTTAATTTTAAAAAGGAAAAAATTAATCTAGTTGTTGATAACCTCTAAGTTTTGAACTTTTAACACTTCTATGATTTTAATTTATGTTTTACAACACAAAGGATTACTATACAATGAAAAACGTTAAAATAGAATTAAATGTTTTCTAGTAAGAATGAAATATTTTAATAACTAAATGGAATAAATATGAATTGAACAAAAAAAAAACATTCCAAATTATTTGTTCAATTTTTTTTGCTTTTATTTTTAAATTATTAGCTTGATGAATAATGTTAACAATTATTTTAAGGCGTGAAAAATCCATTTTAATGAAATATTTTTAACTCAAAAATGTTTTTGTCATATTCAATACATTTAGTAGATAAAACATTAACTAATAACTGTATAATTATATTTAAAGGTTTTAAAGAAATGTTTTAAACATATATAAATTTATCATCTTTTAAATAGTTACTTGAGCATAATCTGAAATTCCTATGGTACCAATATTATCTTTCACATCAATCCATTCATGTTTATCAGTATAATAACGATCTAAAAACAATGGTTTTAAGTAAACATTCTGTATTAAAATAAAAATCTATTGAAATATATTAACTATAAGTATATTACCTTTAACATGAGAAGTAGAAAAACGCAAGACATTCGACAATAACCCTTGAGCATGATTTGCATTTCCCAAGATGCGATTAGTTACTTTAACAATTCTAATCATTTTTGTGGAAAATATTTTTAAAGTTCAAACAAAGTATCTCAAATTTGTATAATAAAATTAAGTATAGAAAAGATGTATTTATGAATGTAATTAATAGTAATTTGTAGACATCAAAGTCTAAAGTAGTAAACTCATAAATCGAATGAACGCTTGTGTAATTCTCATTGTTCATTAATCATACTGTAATACATTTTAAAAGTCTAAAAACCAAGTGGCCGGTATCCTTATCACAATTTTATCAACTTATAATAATATAACCCATGACCTTAGATTATCATTTTTTAGCATAGTCTAGGGTTCGTACTTCGTTCATGTTTCGCGGGGGTTCCGAATTCCGATCAGCTGCTGCTACTGCTGAGTGCTAATCTTTTTTACATTGTTCAATGCTTTTACCGTGGTATGAAAATTAACTATACCCTCAGTGAACATCCTGTGGACTGTGGTGATAATTTGATAAGTGATAAATATTAAATAATATAAACACCACCTATCAAGCTGTACTTGTACTTTTCTAGTTTTTCTACTTTTACTGTTAAATGTTAAATGTTAATTTTTATGTCAATAATCAACATTGGTCTGTTAAGTAATTATGTAACTAGGTTACTTACAGACTTACAGTTCGGTTTTAACCTATTCTAATACATTAATATTATAATAGCTTATACAATTTTAAAAATGTATGTAGTCAATAAAATTTCTATCAAATGTTATTGACTTTCAAATATACTAAACAAAATTTAATTTTGAACCCAGTGTCTATGTAATATAATAGCATAATATATAATAAATATATATACAATTTTTTACAATAGAAATATAATACTAACATGTTGATCTCTAATATATTAACTGCAATTCATTCTCTGGTTTTTATAGGTAAGTGTTACTTGTGTATAGGACCTAATTTGTATATAAAAAAAAAAAAAAATGTAAAATAAGATGCAAGTCTGAACTTAATCGAGATTTATGTCATATTTATAACTTATAATCTAATTTATAAGCTTACATAGTTCTAACAAAAATGATTTTAGTTTCTTAAACAAAACCTACCATTGTTTTAAAAGATAACCTGATACAATAATTATTTAATTTTTTCTTTTAAAATAATAATAACAAAGAAATATATTTTTAATTAAATATATGCATAGTTTATTTATTTACATATTTATTTGACCATATAGAACACTTATGGTGTTCCATCCTATTTTAGATTATTTTATTAAATAATATTAAAAAAAATTGAAGAAAGTTATAATATTATTCAGTATTTAGACAAATAAAAAAATAAATAACTGGTGACCAACAGTATCTTTTATATTGATAAAACCTATGTTTAAATTGTCTTAAATATATTATAAATATGACAAATATTTCTTAAAATATCTGTTATATTTTTGCACATAATTATAACTTGATATTTTTTTTGTTATAAATCAATAAATCCCCATGGTTTAACTTATCTATATAGGAAAAATTTACCATTTTATCAATCTACTTATTGAACACTTTTATAAATGTATATATCTATTAAATACTATAAATTATTTAAGTACTTCAATTAATTCATTGACATTTATGTTTTCAACTGAAAATAGGTGTTTCCTATCCTTTAAATGTTTAATATTACATAGTTAAACTAATTATAATTTTTGAAAAAAAAAAACTTGTTAAAAATAAGGATTTCAATATATGTCATTGTTGTTTAAGCACTCAATATTATTGTTTAAATTGCTTGATATTTACAATTATTATAATTTTTTAGTATCTGTTATTCTACTAAGAGATGTACATTCATCAAGAGTATTGGAACTTAGTGATGGGTAATTAGTAATTAATAATTATTATATACTATAATGTGTATTAATTATTATTGTACAATTTCTAATATTTTATTTTTAGGTTCATCGAAATGAAAAATGATGGGCATTGGTTTATAATGGTAATCATAAAAAATTTACAAATAAATTTTAAAAAATACTACTAAATATTATTTAATCAATAATATTTACTTTTAAATTATAACCTTTAGCAATTAAAATTTTAATCAAATTTTTGTTTTTAGTTTTATGCTCCTTGGTGTGGCCATTGTAAGAGATTAGAACCTATTTGGCGTCATGTTGCTCAAGCATTACACAACTCTGATATAAGAGTTGGAAAAATAGATTGTACTAGATATAAAAGAGTAGTTTCAGAGTTTGGATTGTCAGGGTATCCTACAATAATGTTGTATGTTATCATTTATGTTACTGTCATTATATAGTTTGATATTTGTGATATTAATAATTATATTTTATATTTTCTTATAGCTTTAGAGATAGAGGAGGTGAATTTAAATTTAATAGTGAACGATCTACAGAAGAAATGGTTCATTTTGCAAAACGATTGGCTCGTCCTCCCGTTCAAGAGGTTACTGATAGTAAAGACATTGAAATGCTCAAACAAACTAATAAAAACTTTTTTATGTTTATTGGAAAAAGTGTTGGCCATACTTGGGTACTTAATAATTTTATTATTGGAGTAAATTATAAATTTTTCATAAATTGTATATTATGTTCCCAGGATCTCTTTTATGATTTGGCAAAACAGTATCAAGCACATTCTTATTTTTATATTACTCCTGAAATAATTGGAAAACAGGTATTTATCAATTCATTAATAATATTAATTTTTAATTGTTTTGAAATCATATTAATTAGAAACATATGATAAGATTTTGAAGAAAGATTATTATATTAAAAAAATTATAAAAATATTTCATAATTAATTATATTCTACCTTGAATATATATATATATAAATACTTTGTTTATAGCATTTTGTTTTTGGAGAAACTCCTGCGGTTGTTGTGTACAAAGAGGAACAACACTACTCTTTCAATGGTAAATGAGTTATAATTAAACATTGGAAGGTTTTTATTATGTTATATAATTTATATTAGCTGAAGAATGGGATATGGACTTCAATTCAAGCTTAACTCAATGGATAAACACGGAGAGATTTGAAACTTTTGTAAAAGTAACTCGATCAAATATTCACCATATGTTGGAGACTAACAAGTACTTAGTCTTAGCATTAGTGGAAGAGAATAAAATTGAAAAGTTACCTCCACATCATTCAGAGTAAGTAATAAACAAAAAAAAAATTGCAAATATTGGCAATTAGCTATATTCATATAAATGTATATATTAAATAAAAATACTAATTTCTTATCTTGTTTCCCAATATTTAGGGCTATATAAATTCAAGTTGATTTTATCATAAGGATATTTTTTTTCTGTTATATATTTAAGAATTTATTTTAATTAGTTTCAAATATTATACTATAAAAATTGGAAAATCTTAATTGAGTGTCTTTTTTAGGTTTCTTCAAATGGTAGAATCAGTTATTGTTAAGAATAGAGAACGTTTTCATAGGTAAAATATTTTATAAATATATTCAAGATAAAATTAGTGTAATAAATCATATTACCTTTTAGGGATTTTCAATTTGGATGGATTGGTTCACCAGAATTTGCCAATTCTATTATTTCATCAGATGTAACCTTGCCATCATTAATCATTTATAATTCATCTACTAGACATCATCATTTTCCAGAAGAAAAACCACATGAACTATCACCAGAATCAATTACTTTATTTCTAGAAGCTGTTAGAAATCAATCAGTAAAGGTAATAACAACCAATGTTATACAAATTAATTATTTATTTTTAGATGTCTTAATATGAATAAATAATCAATAAATTATAATATTAAATAGGCTTATGGAGGAAATGGTGTATTTATACAAATGTATAGAATGTATTATGAAACAAAGAAGTCTTTAGTAAACATTTGGGTCAGCAATCCTGCAGTTGCTAGTGTTTTATTTGGATTACCTATAGGCTTCCTGCTATTAATATGCTATTCTACATGTTGCACAGACATCATGGATGCTAGTGATGATGATGAAGATGGTATGTTTAAAAAATGATTACTTATTAGTTATTACAATTATTATATTAACTTTAATTTAGTTTAAGTAATCGTTGTTAAAACATGAACTTAAAATTATTTTTTTTTTAATAATAATTTCCTTTATTATTTTATTTTGCCACTTTATAAATGATATTTTTTCTTTCAAAAAATATGTATTTTATATTTTTGTTCTAATTTTTAAAAGCATTTAAATATTGAATTGTTGTATTTTTATTTATTTATTTTTATTATTAAGATTAAGCATTAGTTGCTAGCCATCAGTTTTATTACATTTTGTTTTTAATAATATTAATTAATATTTATTTTTATTTTTTTAAAGCTGTTTTGTATTAACCTCAAATTAAAATTAAAAATGTTTCTAATTGTCTTATAAATGTATACATTTTTGTGTCATATTGTAATGATAAATTTATTTTTATTATGTACTGTTACAAGTTTAATTAACTTTATTTTTCATTTTTCAGATGTACACCATGAGAAGAAAGAATAAGATACTCATTCAAATATTCAAAAACATTAATTTATTAACAGCTGTTAAGATGTTGGAAAAAATATTTTAAAATAATAAAATAATAATTTATTTACATATTACTTATGTTTATATATGTACACATACAAAATAACTCAAATTTTAATTTAAAAAATAGCTAAAACTACATTAAGTTCCAATACATAAATTTTATCATATTATATAGTATATATATATTAATCCTATTGGCTATTTTACTACCAATATATTCTATATAATATAATATGATCTACTATATTTAATTTAATTGATAAATTAGATGATGAATTTAATATTTTCCAATTTTTAAAACATTGAATGAATGTTGAATTTTATTCTTTATTAAGATGCTATAAATTGTTTTATTTTTATTTTTATTATGATTTTCACATATGATTGTGATCAAACACTCATTTTAATACTAAAGCTTATTTACTAATATAAATTCCAATCTTAAGTTTTGCTATAAAATATAAACGTGTGATTAGTATATTACTATAAAGCTTAATTTTTTTTATAACTAATTTTTAAGCTTCCAAAGTTATAAATATTTATGTTAGAATTATTGTTGATTACTAAGAGGTTTGGTTAGTACATCAAATAAAATAATCTTTTTTAATATATTAAAAGTTGAAATAAAATAAAAGACTGAGTCAAAAATGTAATTTAAATAGTAATGATTAATTAAGGTTATCCAAAATATCTTAAATGTAAAAGAGATACATAAGTAGAAATAACAATTATAATTTATTACTCATCATTAATATCTCAATTAATTTAAAAAAATATAATTATTAGTCTTATTAAACCGAATTACTAATGAAATATATAAAATATATCTGTATTTGATGTCAACCATTCAATAACTTCTATTAAGCCCATAAAAATTAACTATTTTAGCAATTTATCTTTATTCATAGCAATGATAATATATAATGGATGTATCACATTATGTTAATTTTTCTTGTAGATTAATTGAAATTCTATTTGATTATAAACTGTATTCTACTATACTGTTTAGTTACTTAAAAATTTGTATTTTATCTAGTCAATTTTGTATTTATTTATTTATTATTATTTCTTTCTACATGTAAACACTTAATAATGTTGTAAGTTTATTAGTTTTTATCTATAATGTTTGATTATTGTATAAGAAATATTAGTATATTATAATTCAAAATAAATTTGAACTTGGTGGATGCAATCTTAATTTAGCTATTATACTTAATTATCTAACAGTGAATAGAAACATTTTTTTTTTTTTTTTTGCAAATTAATACATAATTTAAACAACGATAACAAAGCGTAATAATTAACAAAGTTATAAATTATTAATTTATATATAATTTAAGATTACAGATAATAAATAGAACTATTACTGAGATTATAATAGGTATCTTTATAAGCTAATAACACAATAACTAAAATAGTAATATTCATTAATATACTTAGGTAAACTGGTAGAATTAATTAAAATACATCACATACAATATGTACAGATATTGTCAATATAACATCAGAGCACTAAAATTAAAAAATTTAGCAGTGAGTCGAATTGTTGAAAAGTAGATTGATAGAAATTTATGAAACCAATGTAATTTATGAAAATTCATGAATTCCTCTAAAGGCAAAGTGGCTAAATAATAAATAGTCAAAAGATGGCCACTACCTATTTATATTGTAAACATAGATAGATATATCAAATAATAACAGATACATTTTATAAAATTTCTTTGATGAAAGCATTAGATTTAATTTACAAGATACCTATTTGATAATTTAATTTACATATTATGATTTAAATTTATACATAACAGTGTGGATTTGTGGAAATGCACATAGAAAAATGATTGACATTAAAAAAACAATTCTTAACATAAGGTATAATAATATCACATCCTATTATTCCTATTTGACTTATATGCTACTGTGTGTGTACATTGTGTACAATAAGGTACTACATTTCTAAAACATATTGCTCTATGTACAAACATTTGTTATGGACAATTTTATCAGCAAAATATTTATTCTACCCCCTTCCCCCCTTAAAAAAAACAATCATAAACAAAATTCAAAGCTATAAATATTCCAGGACAGAAAATTGGACACGTATTTACTTTGTCTGTAGTAACGGCTGTAACATTGTGTTGCGCTGTTCAGTCGATTTTTGTAGTAGTCTGTCTAATTCCTTTTTATTGTAGTAAAACACCAATTCTTTTGGTTTGACCCCTCTAAACACATCAACTACACTAGGCTTAAGGTTGTAAAAAAACAAAGCCTGTCCCCTATCCGAAAAATCTTTAGTTAGCATTTCGATGACTTTAGCGGCGGTGAAGTCAGCTCCATACACATGAGAACAATCTATGACTACGGGCATATCTCGTTTAAGACTGTGTTTTGTAACCAGGTTACGGACGTAATCGGCTGACGGAAATACTAAACATCTGTCCGGGGTTAGCATTAGATATTTGAAACCGGCACGAGTCTTATATTCTTGTATTGATATTTTTGGTCTAGCCGCGTGATACAAGATCGAAGTTAGGTTCAGCCCTATGCCAAACAAAACGCCAATCTCTAAGGGCAAGAATAGGCAGGCAAAAAAGGTGAACATCCCCGGGATCAAATCACTTTTCTTCGAACGATAAATTGGTTTGACAACTCTCACTTCTACCATGAACACTACTGCCGTTATGATAACCGCTGCTAAACAAGTTTTGGGTATGTAATAAAAATATGGTGTCAAAAATAACAGAGCCACGATCACCAGGATTGAGGTGTACAATCCACCCAAGGGGGTTCGCACTCCACTGGCGTTATTCACAGCACTCCTGCTAAACGAACCAGAACCCGGAAAACTTTGCACGAACGAATTTCCGATATTACATAAACCAATGGCCAATAGTTCTTGGGTTGCGTCCACAGTCTTACCGTTAGCGAACGCCTTACAAATAGATATGTTTTCCAGCAGACCAATTAGTGGCAAAACGACCACATTTGATTTCATTGTGGACATAATTTCGAAGAAACCTATGGTCTCGTTGTCCCGCTGCATTGTGAACTGTGGTAGACGAAATTCAGGAAGACCCGCTGGAATTGTTCCGATGATCTTGTACGGCAATTTTAACGACCCGCCTTGGGCACTTATGAATATGTAACTCATGACGGTACAGCTAATGACAATTATCGAATTTCTAATTGATCCTATTAACCAGAAACTTTTGTTAGTGTATTTCTGGACGCAACTTTGTTGTTCCGGGTCCGTAGGACCGATACGGACTTCGGCAATGACCCGCAACACCAACAAAAACACGATGCACCCGAATCCAATAACAGTGTCTCCGTAGCTAATCGTGTCGATGTTTCTATAAAGAGAACACATCATTTCCCACAGACTAGATCCTGTACCATGTACACCAATCAAGTCTTTAATCTGGGATGCGATGATTAGTAAGGCTACGGCGGATGTAAACCCCGACGACACTGGACCGGATACGAAATCGATAATTATACCTAGACCACAAACTCCCATGGCTAGCTGTATAACGCCGGTGAGGAAGCATAATAATGTGGCGTACTCTGGACCATAGTCGTGCAGTGTGCTATAAGTCATCAGCGACACAATTGCCGTCGGTCCCATGGGTACGTCTTTACAGCTGCCAACGAACGTGTAAATGAACGTGCCAAGAAACGAACCGTAAAGACCATACTGGGGTGGGAGACCTGCTAATCCGGCATACGCCATCGACTGTGGTATGACCGTCAATCCGACAGTCACTCCGGACATTATGTCACCAAGTCCATCTTGAATCGTATAACATGGTAACCAGTTCAATATCGGCACCCTGCGCCTCACGTTTTTCATAGCCACTGTTCTACTGAGTTTTTGCTTCATACACAAACAAATTCCCTGCACTGTTTCCACGGTGCTCGTTTTCCGACCAGACACGATTTCTTCTACGAGTATGAAGTCATCGCTGCCTAACGAACACTTATACGTATCGTCGTGACTATTCATTGAGGAATTAGTATCTCTGTCTGGCATGGCTGATGGATTTAATCAATAAAATTGTTCTGAAAAAAAATATTAAAAACAATACATGACTAGAAATTTGAATTTATCAATTAATTTTACATTTATATTATACCTAGCTATAATCTATAATACGTGATAGGGGTGTGCTAAAAAAACATTCGATATTTAAATCAATATGCTTAACCAATACAGAAAAAATACAAAATAGTTATTTTTATAGTTGAAACATTTTATAATACCAATTATGGTTTTGTAAAACTTCACACGGAATACTGTTGGATTGTGTGTAAAAATATGTGCGTCATTTGTGATAAAGCGTGCATACTGCGTGTACCAACAATAATTTTTTAATTTTTAATTTTTATTTTTAAATAAGAACCGTGATCTGTGTAATTTATAGTAGATATATTGTCATAGATAATGCATTAATATAATTTAGTAAAATTTTTACTTTTAACTTGAATAATTGTATTGAAAAAATGACAGTGATCAACGCTTTTCGGCAAAAAACAGATAATAGCCAGTGCCGGCCCTAGGGGGCGGGAAAGCGATGCGACTGCACCGAGCCCTGCGCTTGTGGGGGCCCCACAAATTATGCAATACGAATATTACATTATTACTTTAATCTATAAATAAACATAATAATATTTTCCCAGTAAAATTATATATATAGCTCTACAGTTACACGCATACATTTGTAAAATTATTTAAAAATTAAACAAGTCCTTTAGAAAAAATAAAATGAATAGGTATAGATATTTATCAATAATTAATAAATTAATATAGATGGGGCCCCATAAAATTCTACACCGGGCCCCGAAAACTATCGGACCAGCATTGATAATAGCTACTAGGTATATATAATGTACCGCTTATAGTTAATAGCTAGGTTTATGAATATTTTACAGAAGAACTTATAAATATTTAACGTTTATAATATATGATTTAAGTTTCTATTGAAATTAAATTTATATTAATACGACTATAAGTCCTAATATAATCATAATTGTTTATAAATTACCTAAAAAT